GAAGTATTTTCAAAACAATTTTATGACTCTTTATACATTATAATTACGAAATAAATAAATTATTTGTTATATTATAATAACATTTAAAAATTTTTTTAAATTAATAAATTAAAAGTTTATTCAAAAATATTATAAATGTATTTGGAAAAAGTTTTTAAATAAATAGTAATATTTTTGTCCGCTAGATGGCGACGCTTATAATTACAATTTAAAATTTTTATTTTCATCAAATAAATGTATATAAAATAATAACATTAAGGCTCATTTTTATAATTAATACTTTTTAATTAAAGGTATACTTAAAGATCAAATTAAAGAATATTTTATAATTATTTTATGAAAATGAATTTTTCTTAATGTTTTCAGTACGATCAAATAAATAATTTAAGGAAATTTTTATATAAAATTTAAGTATTTTATGCAATTTTTTAAATAGTAAATAATTACGTTAGCATAAAATAAATTTTACATATACTGATTTAAATATTTTATTTTTTTAAAATGTGATATATGAGATAATTAACCTAATTTATTTTAAAATATTTAATTTGTCCTGCAGTTTAAAATGTTTTCCTTGATATAAAAATATATATATTATAGTATATTATTTGAAAAAATACATATATATTAATATAGGTTTTAATTTATAACTAGAATAAAAACTCATACATATAATTTTTTTTTTTTATATTAAGAAATACGATCTTTATTCATCCATCTCGGAGCAGTGTTGAACATAGAACACCTGTTATATGGCGATAGCTTGGGATATCTCTAAAGCTGTACAGTGATTAATGTATCCTGTAGTGTCATAAAACAAAAATATACTTTTTTCGTTATATAAAGCTTTATTATAGAAATACAAAAATATGTGGACGTACACGACATAAAAAGAAGTATAAATACATAATTTTATTGACATTCATTACATAAGTTATAATAATATTCGGGGCTTCGATGATGCCCTATGTCATTCGATCGCATACATTCTCCATCATACACACGACATTGCAGTTATTTGAGGAACAAATCTATATATATATATTTAAATTAAATCATTAAAAACTTTATAATTTTATTACTTTTAAAAGTTTATATTTAAATATCTAAGGCATTAAAGGTGTTTCCTGGATATTGCAATGTGGAATAATATTTCAAATGAGTTCGTTGCAAAGTAAGAAAATATTTTTTAAAAATCATCAAACTTTGATACAAATGAACCATAAAGCTTGCAAATTAACCTATTGGATTTTATATGACTATAAATTATATTTTTAAATGGTCCAGTGCATCTGATTAATTGACTGGAGCAAACCAGACACATTACAGGAAAGAATATTTAAATAAAATATTAATTTAGTTATAGATTTATAAATATTCAGTCAATTTTTTAATATTTTGTTGGCGAAGGAAGGGTATTACAATTTATAGATTCATCTATAACCTTGGGAATAATGTCAAAGATAGGGAACAGGAATTAGTAACACAGTTCAAGTCATTATCAAGTGGTCCCCTGTAATCTAAAAACACCGAAAGGCGTTAGTTAAGAACAGACAGTCACGACCGAAAAAAAATGGAAATGATTTTTTTTAAGTTCTTTCCTCGTTGAAAGAATATTTTTGAAATTAATAAAAGTGTATATACCGACTTCTAATAGTACTTCAATATGAAGCCATGATTATGGGGCTGGACTAGCTCCGTTTATGCATTTAGAAAAAAACATTCTTACACAAAAATTCACACAAAATATAGAACTATACAAAGCTTAACAGCTGATATAGCTGCTGGTCGGTTATCAACATAAATCACATTTTATTTTAATAATATATAATATATATATTTTTTTCTTTCCTTTCATTTTTGAATAGGAAACACTGTCAAATGTCAATTTTTAAAATAGTGTTCCCAATTTCTGCCACTCCGGAATATCGTAAATATCAGTTAAACTATAAAATAATTAAGGAATAATTTGAAATAAATTTAAACATAAACATCTATTCGACGTTTTGAGTTCTTGAAATTCGATATAATTTAAAGAAAAAAAAAAGAAAAAAAAATCCGGACGGATGGCAAATTTAAGCATGAATCGAGTCTAATTCACTTAAAATACTTCTATATTACAAAAGCCGATTTTTTAACATAAAAAAACCTTTGTTAAATTTATATATAAAGTGTTAAAAAAATCACATCTCTACGTCACAGATGTCGTACCACTTTGAGGAAATTTCCCATGGTCCTGCGATGCGATTCGTACGTCTTCGATCTAATGGTTTAAACCCTATATTTTGCCAATAGTAGCATCCTTTAAAAAAGTACATGGATTTATCTGTATAAGAATAATATACTGCATCTAAATTTGCGGGTAAAGTTGATTCGGAACGTGCACTTGGAAATTCTTGTTGAATTTTACGTGGGTAACCGGGTAAACAACAACCTTCGTTACCTCGCGATACGTCGTAAGCATACACCTAATGACGAAAACATTTTAAAATCAATAACAGAGGAATTATAGATAAATTGTTTTTAATGAAAGCAAAACATACCAAATTATCTTTGAAAAAATATAAATTTGCATCCCGTTTATCAAAGAAAACGCTATCGATGTTATTCGGAATATTTGGGAAATTGGAACCGGGTATGGCACGAAAACCATCAGATATATTCTTAGGATAATCATCTGATACTTTATCTTCGATGCTGTTATATAACCAATAATGATGTCCTGAAAATAATTTATATAAATGAATCCTGAAATCTTCAAAAGCATTATTATATGAGGATATTGGTACTGTACCTTTAAAAAAGTATGCGGCGTCGTGATTGTAAGTCCAGACATGTACGTAGCCATCTACTGAATTTGGTAAACCTTTCCATTCTGGGATAATGGGTAAAGGATCGCCGTATCTGGTCCTGTTATATCTATTTTCGTACATCCAGTAACGATTATTACGGAAGAAATATGTGTTATAGATGAGTTGACCATCAGATCTTCTTCGTACCCAATCGAAAACCGTATCGAATCTTCCAGTGCAAACGCCTAAACCATGAAGAAATTCAAAATAAAAAATAGAAAATAAGTTGTATAATCAGTGATAATTCACTTATAATTGTATGTAATGGCATAAAACATTCAGAAATATCTTTCAAACAAGGATCTTGATTTTGAAATTGAAATTTATGGATTTACTGAAGAGATAAGTGAATATACTCGTATAACTTACCATAAATTTTCTGTACTAATTTTCTATCTTCCCAACCTAATTCGAAATTATTGTTTGGAATCACTTTGGAGTAAATTGCATACATAATAGAATAATTTCGATATGTATGAAGTAATCCAAGAGCGTGACCAACTTCATGAACAGCAACTTTAACTAAATTAGTACCGTGATTCGAGCCTACTGTTAAATATTCGTCATCATCAACGTGTATCTCAGCATTGGCAGCCATCTTTATAGCATGAGATAATTGACCACCAAAACCATCGAAATGATTCAAGCAGTTTAGATGTTCTCCTATAAAAAGAAATATTAAGATAAAAATTGTTTATATATTTTTAAAACCGGTTTTTTTTNAAAAACTAAAATTTATTGTTGTGTATTAAATATTTTTTATTAATAAAAATTTAAGAATTTTATTATTAATTTGTTTTAGTTTTTCACATTATTTAGTTTTGTTTTATTTATTGTTTTATATTTTTTGTGTGCTCTATTTCTAGTGTGAGAAAGGGGGCCCCGTAAGAAGAAAATGTCTAGGGCCCCAAAGTGGGTTAATCCGGCCCTGTATAGCCTACATGATGTGTATTCTTTTCCAAACAAGATTTCAGTTCCTCTAACTAAAAACCATTTCCCTCGATATTCTATAGCATCGGATTAATTAATTCGTTAATAAAATGCCTTCGATCGACAGACGAGGTAAATGGTAAATTTTCGATGAATTGTGTATTTCGACGATGAAGAAAGCTAAATGCTTATTGGCCATCTCGAATTATCTTGACTTCGACCCACTCTATGTCGTATGTAACGACGCCTATCTACGACATTTTCGGTTACAACAAGTTTGATAAATATTAAAGCTTGACGTGCAAAAATTTTTAAGTGTCTGTATCCCAGTTAATCGTTGACTATCACCCAGCTCTAAATCTTTTTACTCAAGCTAAATGCAAAGCTCCAACTCTATGCAAGTTTTTTGCTGACCAGGGATACATAATTGACGATCGCCTAGTTGTTCGGTATCCTGGTTTAGGGGGTAGGAAAAAAATAATAATGGCGGATGTAGGGCCTACTGCAAGAATATTAGATTTCCGCGTTGAGGCCTTTGGTGACGTCATAGCACTCAATGCTCAAAGCATTGAATGCTAATTGCATTGAGTATTGAGAATTATCCGTGTCCTTCTCTAACTCTTTTCGATTAAAAAATCTTCTTTTACATGTACTGTACAGCGCTGTATAATTGACCGAAGCGGCGCTGTTTAAGAAACACGCGAAATAAAATTTAGCGAAAATAAGAAATGGAAAATAAAACTTAGGAAAATGGGCTGCCAAGGGGTACGCAAGCAACAACTTATAACTACTAGACCCCGAACTGAGCCGCCATCTTTGAAGCGAATTGAACATTCGTCCGCAATGACACTTTGAAGGCAGAAAGCTGCTCACCTGCAGAAAATATCTAATACAGATACGACTGTAATTTGCAGAACTGATAAATAATAAATGAAATAGTCAAAATGCAAGAAATATATACGCGTTCTTCGAATTACGAACACGATTGGTTCCTGAAGTTTTGTTGTAAAAAGCATACACTAGATAAAATAGAACTGTTCATAGGGGCTGTCCATAAATGACGTCCACACTGGAAGGAAGAGAGGTTAAGACAAATTGGAGAAAAATCGGACAACGGGAGAGGGGAGGGGTTGGTCTTCAGTGGACGTTCATATATTGCATTAAAATTTATACAGCTTATGCATTTTATATTTATTTCAAAATTTCTTGTATGTTTCATTTTTACTTATGGTGTTTATCATTCATGAAATGATAAAGGTTTAAGAGGATTGATGTTTTTGGCGTCCGAAGTGGGAAGGGAATTACGGAAACTTGGAAAAACGGGACAAGAGGGAAGGGAAATAAATATGTCAAGAAAAATGCGGACATAATTTATGGATAACCCCACATAAATATTTTCAAATGCAGTAACCCTTCAATAAACGTAATTTTTTTACCTTTAAAATGAACAGGTTTGATGTACATTCGTCTTACAGAAACACTACGATGAGCCTGATGTATGATGTGGTGGGTCAGGCATTCGAGTTTTATCTTGCTGCAGCACACTCTGCTCATAGATATCATCAATTCGTTGGGTATCATAATCTATGTTACCCAAAGATGTTCGCTTTAGTGGTCTTCGTGACACTACCGGCTGTCTCTGTAAATGTTGAGGAAAATCAAAACCTTTGTAGGAACCGAATGCAAATAGGTGTATCCGTTCTGTGTAGAAACAGTTTGGTTCAAATTGCTGACTGCAAAGAACACTACTTGTTTGGTTTCCATTTGTCACGTCATATGTGTATCGCTGTCAACAACCGACCAAAGTATTGCTTGTTTTTAGAAACCTGTCAACAAACTATCCATCGTTTGATCGTTTTACGTACAAAAAAGATGCATCGGTCGGCGATCAAAACCTCGTAACGCCAATATTTGCTCAAATTTGAATTACAGCATTAGTGGATAACGAAATATGTTTCCCGTGATCTGTAAAACTCTCTTAGGACCCAACTCAAACCTAGTTCAACACATAAATTAAAAAATTAATCAACATAGGGTAATAACGGATTTCTGAACGAAGTTTAATGTTTCCGAAAAAAAAATTACTTCAGAAAGAGTTACGAGATTTTGATTGTCAACCTACGGTATAGTATCAGAGCAACAAGGCCTATATCTAACTTACCGATGAAACGTGATACCGGATTTTTTTATACCTTGCCGTACAATTAACTGCACAGTAACTCAATGGCATTCCTGTTATGCTCCTGTGACAATTCACGCAGGTTCAAGTCTAAATAAACAGCAATTACGCCAGAAATAACTACCATAAGTCAGCACACAATAATTTGTCCATATGGATGGATTATGGCCTATTTTCGGCACCTATAGACGGCGCCTATTTTCTTTGGCTTCAGACGTCAGCGCAAATTTCGGAGTCTGGTAGTTATATGTTGTAGTACGCAAGTCAAAAAAGATGGGCACCACTGCTCTAGTTGATCTTGTTACTTGGGATAAGGGAGCAGTCCGGATAAGAGAATACGACACAGCGATTCCGACAGTACACTCTTAAATCGACTGTAGTACTAGTATTGAAAAATGTTGAATGATTTTTGAGTTATGTGGATAATTTTATTAAACTAAGGTCTTTCCTAGAATGAGAATGGAGCCTATGTTCATTAGTCTACACATACGAAGAAAAATAATTATGTGTTCATTATGTTTACACTGTTATAATCTATTTGAAGTTTCCGACATTTATGCAAGAAATTTGAGATTATAAAAATAAAAAAGTCGCACGACGTCATATGACACGATGTTGGAATTCTCGAAATTTTCATTCTATTTGGTGCCAGAGCTTCCTTTCTTAGACATGGCGGCAGAGTAATACACATTAAAGATTCAACACATCGTCTCCATTATTATTCTGGGAAATACTATAGATTTCAATATGATGCAAAATAATGAATTATGTTTAAAAGTAGCGATTGATTCTTTTTTATATTCATAAAAGCAAGTAAAAAGAGATAAAATGTGTTACACTGAAATTTGAAAAAACGATAAAAAATTCAACACAAATAATCAAACACTTGGATACATAGTTTTAAGTATACAAAGATATTCTCAACGAATTAAGTAGCAAGCAAGCATTAATATTACATATTTAATTGCAATATTAAATACTATAATATATTACAATTTGCTGGCTAAATGTTATTATTCTCTTATTAGAGAGGAAAATGAGACTGATGTTGACATTTTCAATTAATTAATGTCGCCTTTCAAATTATAAATGATCTTAAATGGAACTCGTGGTTTTAAACAACATTGCATAAATAATGGAATAATTGTGTCTTCACTCTAGCATAGGCTATATGAATAGAAAATAATTGATTGCAATATTGTATACGTACAGATTTCAGAAATATATCGATATTAATGTATTGAAGGGGATTATTACTTTACTATGATATAAAGTCAATGTTTAAATGCACTAAAAATTAATATAATAAATGAGAAAGGAAATTTTTAATACGCTTATATAAACAAGAAAATTTCGTTAAAATATTAAGTAAATTTTTAGCAGTATACGTGATATGAATTTATTTAATCATTTCTAAAAAATATATTTGATTCTCTACTATATCTTTATAAATTAATCAAAATCCCTCAAAAAAACGTAAATATCCAAAAAAAGTTAAATAAAACGATTATAACTAATATTATAAACATTAAAAACAAATTTAAAATTAGAATAATCATATTTTCAGAAATTTTTTCTAAAAGAATTTCGTATAAAACTCCCGAAGTTTTCAATTTGATTCTAATCAAACTTCATATAGAAGTGATCTTTTAAAAGTATCTTACAACTTTCAAGAATGTACCTCAAATAATATCATAGAATATCGTTTGAGAAGGACAGACAAACAAACAGCCAAAATAATAATAATTATTGTATATAGTCGTTCGTCGAAGCTCACAATTTCGTTTCGATACTTATCTCAAGAATAACTGTGTACTAGTTTTGTACTTGTTTTAACTTTGTTACTATATATTATAGTAACATTTAAACAAAATTAGAAATCTAAAGATAAGTTAATTAGAATTCTGTTTGATTCTATCTAATAATAATACATCTGAATTTACTTTTTCATCTTTAACAACATTGAAAATTATAAAGTTAGATTATGACGCTGCTATAATAACAAAGAAAATTTATATTAATTAAAATGTTACAAAGTTTATTCAAACATATGGAATGGTTACTTTAACATATGCTGTAACTATTTTTTTTTTCTTGATGAATTTATGTTTACTTTTTTAAATTTCATGATTTTCCAACTAGCACTTGGTATACAATCATTTTTTTAATTATATCTTTTGGTAAAATGATACGTTCTTACGATAAGAAAAACGAACGAAGAAGGAAAAAAAAGAAAAATCGGTATGTTTCTTTTATCGTGTACAAAGTTGATGGCAAAAAGTAGTAGCATTTAGCAAGTACAGATGTTCCTTTGATTTGAAAATGTACAGAAATTGGGTCGCCATCTCTTATCTAATTGCAACTTTCTTTCTAATTTTTAAATTAATTTAAAATAACTTTATTCATTTTATATTATATTTAAATAAAAATTATTAAATAATTTATTTTTCTTTTATAT